TATTTTTTTGCTTAACATTTTATTTTGTTTTGATATATAATATAATATCTGTGCTAGAGAAGAGTAAAGCATTGTTTTTTAGCATAATTTATTTAATGAAAATTTTTTTGTCATATCAATCATTAAATTAAAATTTGCCTATATTTTCACTACCATGAAATTTATTTAAATTAACAAATAGATGTTTCTGTGACATCATAATGAGGAAAATATATATTTTTTATATACTCAAGTGAATGATGAATAATTGATGATAGATTTAAAAAAGTTTTATTGTTTTTACATTAAAATTTTTTTGGCTTTACTAATGATTGAAATGAACCTCAGGAAGAGGATGAAGGGGAACTAGCTGGCAGTGGTGGCGATGGTGTCCACGTACCACTCACCACCATGGCCTCCTCTCTTGACAACCCTAATGGACCTCCATTACTCACTCCAATATCCCAGGTAAGAGATCATATATTTTTCATGGTTATAGAAATTGTAATCAGTGAAGGGCCAGATTAAGGTTTTGTGAGGCCATCATCCTGGTAATGTGTGGGCTATTACCCCATAATCCAATCACATTCTTAAATTGGAGTTTGATCCAGTGCAGTACAGTACATAATATAGTAGTATCAAATAGCATCATTGTAGCTAATATCTCAGGTATCTTTAACCCTTTCAGGGTCCAGAGGCCAAATTTCAAAGTGTGCATGTGTCTAAGAATTTTCAAAAAATAATTTTATTTTTTCTTATGAAATGGTAGAGAATCTTTTTCTGAAGGTAATAAAACAAAAGGTATGAAATTTGATGGAAAATTTACGAAATTATGCTCTCGTGAATTTTGATGTGTCAGCGATATTTACGCATCAGCAATTTTGCCGACTTTGAGTCCCATTTTAGGCCAATTACATTATTCCAGTCGACCAAAGTCTTAGCTATTTCACTAATATTACTTCTATTCTATCGATTGAGCACAAGAATTCACCAAGTCAACTGTTTCAACTACAAAATAAAGTGATTGGAAATTGGTAATTTGGCGAATTTAATGCAGAGTTCAAAATACTCCAGTTTCAAAATAGGGTCCAGAATAAACAATGCAGGCATTCCTGGCACTAAACTAACATTTCCTCTGTTCATTAGTTATGTTTTCAGGCTTTACTAATGAATTCCATTTTGATTTTTTATTCACATAATGAATTTTTATTCGAACCAAAAAATAGAAGATTTACTGTTATGCAATATTGTGTAATTGTATAAATAATATCACTACATTTGTGAACGTATATTAGACCCACCAGCAGGCGTGTATTAGACGTGTGAGGTCATATGTTTACTCTTGAACATCAGCAAAAATTTAATATTTCTGCTACTTTGAGCTCAGTTTCAAGCCAGTTCCAATATTAAAACCAATCAAAATCATATCTATTTCTGTAATATATCTTCCATTCTATCAAATAATACCAAGAAATCGCAAATACAACTATAAAAAACATAGGAAAAAACACTGCAAAGTCACTGTTTTAATCGAAAATTACAGTTTTAATCGAAAATTACAGTCTCAGTTTTTTCTCTCATTATGCATTATGTGCTGCAGGATTTGTTTTATGTGGTGCACATACCACATAGATGCATTCTCTCATATCTAGGCCCAAATTTACCACTCACAGCTTATCAGAGTGAGCTGAGCTCATGACCTAGATCTACGGTTTGGACCCTCAACGTAAAGCCGTAGATCTACGGCACAGACCCTCAAAGGGTTAAAAATACCAGTAGGTTAGACTAATATATATATGAATTGTAATTTGTGGAATGGGTGGGACTTGAATCCATGGCAAGTGAGGAAACTCACAGGCCTGTGTGTTAACCACTCAGTTGGCTGGGTCTAATAAGATTCATCCAATGATTTTTAAATTATTATTTATAATATTTGAGCTTGAGTAGGGCCTGCCTACCATGAGCCAGCAGACCTGCAGTGCTCCTTTGCTCTTTTGTGAGGCTCAGCTTCAAAGAGTAACATCTAAACTGTAGTGATAGCAAGTGAAGCCTGGCAAGTCTGTGTGCTGTATGTTATATTCTACTCTGGCAGGTATTGCAGGTACTGTACTGTACTCTGCAGTGTCCAATGTGATCTTCATATAGTATCTCAGGTAGACATTTTTCAGTCTTTACTTCTTACTAGTATTGACCTTATGAATGTGACATTTAAACATGCTATTGCAAATATTGAATGTGGTACTAAGTTGGAACTGCAAGAGGTTGTTAAATGGTTAATGGTATACAGATACTGTACCACTTATTAATTTTCTATATACAGCCTCTCCTCACTTAACAACGAAGCTCCGTTCTTAAGACTGCATTGGTAAACACAGTCTTAGGAGGAGCATACTATAATGGTAGTGGGTTTGTGTCCCTTTGATATTGTTTTAATGTCACCTTTGCACCATTTATAAAATTTTTGGTATATGTATTTTTGGTTTATACCATATGTATTTTTACCTTATACAGTAGTTTACTGTATATGGTAATAAACAGAATAGAGGTGTGCATATTGGTCAGAGAGCCCATCGTAAGTCCTAGTCATCAGTAAACGAGTACATCGCTAAGTGAGGAGAGGCTGTAATTACTTATTTTGATGTATCATGTGTCACAGAATGATCACGAAGCAGTTATGTTTTATATTATTGCAGATACTGTGAATGTTTTAATTAGTGAGAATTGTTTGGCAAACATCTGGGCATTTGTGGGATGTTTGTGTAGTAATTGGATGGATTAACAAGGACCACATGAATGGAGCATTATTTCAGAAGACAGGGCATAGTGACCGTTTGTGTTAAGGGTCTGAGTGTATGAATGTATATATATACTGTCAGTCAATTTAGGTAATGAACAGATTTTCTATATTTGGGTATTTAGGCTACATTGTGTTGCCGGGAGTTCTATCATGCCTCCGTGGTACAGTTGACATAATGAGTTCTGATAAAGTTCCTAACTAGTGAGCCTTGCCAGGATTATACATGTGGGAAGTGCATCTGTCTCTCACTCAGTGGGAGGAGGATCAAGCCTCACCACATCTTGGACTGAATGACCAACATGGGTTTAGCCCTTAAAATGAATGAAAAAATATATAAAACTCCTACTTAATGAAACATTGTCTAAATAAAGTATCCAAATGTTGCATACCTGTCCATTGACCTAAATTGTTAAGGGTAGCAGATTTTTTTTTTTTTTTGTATGTGTGTGTGCATGCATATGTATGTATGTGTGTGTGTGTGTTGTACTCACCTATCTGTGGTTCCAGGGGTCGATTCACAGCTCCTGGCCCTGCTTCTTCGCTGGTCGCTGCTAGGTCCACACTCTCCCTGCTGCATGAGCTTTATCATATCTCTTCTTAAAGCTGTGTATGGATCCTGCCTCCACTATATCACTCTCCAGATTGTTCTACTTCCTGACAACTCTGTCACTGAAGAAATACTTCCTAACATCCAGTTGTGACCCCTTGTTACTCTGTCCCATCTCTGAAACATCCTGTCCCTCTCCACCTTGTCAATTCCTCTCAATATTTCATATGCTGTCATCATATTCCCCCATCCCTCCTGACTTCAAGTGGCATCAGGTTGATTTCCTTTAACCTCTCCTTGTTGGACATACCCTTAGCTCCAGGACTAGTCTTGCAGCAAACCTTTGCACTGCTCTAATTTCTTGACATACTTGACCAGGTGTGGGGTTCCATACTGGTGCTGCATACTCCAATATGGGCTTCATGTATATGGTGTACAGAGTCTAATGATTCTTGCTCAGGTGTCAGAATACTGTTCTTAGGTTTGCCAGGCACCCTTATGCTCTAGTAGTTATTTGGTTGACGTATGCCTCAAGATGTGCTCAGTATTATACTTACCCCAAGATCCTTTTCCTTGAGTGAGGTTTGCAGTCTTTGGCCTGCTACTCTGTCTGCAGTCTTCTTTGACCTTCCCCAGTCTTCATGACTTTGCATTTGGTGAGGTAAAACTCCAGGAGCCAGTTGCTGGACCAGGCCTGCAGCCTGCCCTGATCCTCTTGTAGTTTTACCTGATCCTCATCCACTTCAATTCTCCGCATTAGCTTCACATCGCCTGCAAACATGGACACCTCTGAATCTACATCTTCCATCATATCATTCACATATACGAGAAACAGCACTGGCCCCACGATTGACCCTTGTGGAGCCCTGCTCATCACTAGTACCCACTCTGATACCTCATCATGTACCATCACTCTTTTTCCTTCCTGCCAAATGAATATTCTCTCATCCATTGCAGTTACTCTACTGTTATTCCTGCCTGCTGCTCTAGCTTTTGTACTAATCTCTTGTTTGGAACTGTGTTGAAAGCCTTCTTATAGTCCAAGAAAATGCAGTCTATCCACCCCACTCTCTCCTGCCTGCCTTCTGTCACCTTGTCATAATACTCCAGTAGGTTTGTGACACAGGATTTCCCCTTCCTGAAACTGTGCTGGTTATTGTGTATAAGCTCATTCCTTTGTAGGTGCTCCACCAGTCTTTTCCTGATAAGCTTCTCCATGACTTTGCTTATTATACATGTCACTGACACTGATCTGTAGTTTAATGCTACCTTCCTGTCTCCTTTTTTAAAGATAGGGACTACATTCACTGTATTCCATACCTCAGGTAGTTGCCCTGTTTTGATAAGTGTATTGAAGATTGTTGTTAGTGACACACACTTTCAGGACCCACGAAGAGATGTTGTCTGATCCTGCCACCTTTGAGGTATCTAGCTTCCTTAGCAACCTCTCTACTTCGTTAAATAACAAAAAAAGGCACAATACCGTGACTGGAATGATACACAAATAACCCGCACATAAAAGAGAGAAGCTTACAACGACGTTTTGGTCCGACTTGGACCATTTACAAAGTCAGTGTGACTTTGTAAATGGTCCAAGTCGGACCGAAAACGTCGTCGTAAGCTTCTCTCTTTTATGTGCGGGTTATTTGTGTATCTCTACTTCCTTGGTTGTGTGTAGTGTGTCCAAAACTTGTTGGTGTACCCTTCCATCCCGGTTTGCTGGAGTTCCTTTCTGTCTCCATTGAAAATACTTCCTTAAATCTCCTTCTTTCCTCACCCTGATTACCTGATCGACAACTTGTTTTCCTCCTGATGTGGCTGTACAACAGCTTTAGGTCAGATTTGGCTTTCAATGCCATCATTCACGTGTTGCCACTGGGTCTTCCTTCTTATCCATGCATATTCATTTCTGGCTCTTGGCTAATCTCCTTATTTTCCTGGGTCCTTTGTCATCTTTACTTTTTCCATTCTCTAGTGCACTTAGTTTTAGCCTCTCTACACCTTTGGGTGAACCAAGGGCTCGTTCAGGTCGTCCCATTATTTCTGTTGCCCTTAGGTATGAACTTCTCCTCTGCCTTGTTGCATTTTGTGGTCACATATTCCATCATTTCATTTGCTGTTTTT